TTTTCGACGTAGGAAGGTAATCGTAGTATAAATAGGCCAAGTATCAATTGCTTCGTACCGACAAGGCCCCTGATGATCCTGGTTGGCGACCAGGTGAAACCGGTTGCGTCGATCGTCGGACGAACTATGTTCGTCATTTGTGCTTATTTCCATATTTTTCGGAAAGTCGTATTCGGGTTACTGATACTCGCTTCGTCGTCTTGAGTCTTCTCCTTCTCCTCCCTCCTCTTCTTCCTCCTTCCTCTTGTAGCGTTTCGTTTGAGTTGACTTGTCGTTGTTGTTGTTGTTGTTGTTGTTGTTGTTGTTGTTGTTGTTTTTAATCAGGCCCTAGCTACTAGTGATGTGATACGAGCACCCACCACTAGTAGCTTGGCTACTGGCTCCATTCTATTGGTGGGGAGCTGCACCTGCTGGAAACCGGGTCCAGCGTCCCTCATACATAGTTTAGTTGGAACATAATACAAAGTACTGCTGTGACAGAAAGAGAGCTACCTCTTCAGCATCAACATGCCGCCATATTACTACTTTTTCCACTAGCAGCCCTTCCCTCAATCCCAACCCAATGAAACACAAAGATATTTTTACCTATTGATCCTGGACATAACCATCACTCTACCCCCCCCCATACCACTGAAGATCCACCAATGCCAGGTCCGAAGGGGGAAAGGGATCCGGAAAAAATTCTGGAGCTCTCAAAATGGCGCCTGACTGGATATCAAACCAATCGTGGAAGATAATCTTGTAATCCCTCTTGATTATTGCCCCATCCTCCTCCCCTCCTGGCCATACCACATTCCCCAGTTTCCCTCTTGGAGAATCCCCCAGCCAGTCCTTTGTGAAATTCTGTATTTTTTTCTTTATATCCTGTTTTTGGTGTAACATATTAATCCCTTCTTTAGCTCTTTCCCATTGATATCTAACCTCTGTTTCCACCTGTTGTTGTACTAATTCAGACATTTCTTTACCATCAATTCTTACCTTTTCCATTGTGTAAACACATCTGCTATACCATAACACCCATAGCAATGATTCCCTTCCTATGCTAAACAAATTTTGCTGAAAATTTGACAACGGGAAGAGGACAGGGCACCAGTGTCCCAAGAGTATCGCCCTCCAATCCCATGGCCAATCAAGGTCCGTTAGCCTATTCCAAACATAATCCCAACATCTCCATAATAGCTTTGCCCCCGGACATTGTAAAAAAATATGTTCAATCGTTTCCCTTATTTTTCTGTTGGGAAAAGCCTCCATACATCCAACACACCATGGCAGAGCAACCCCCCTTTGCTCCAACGTGGAATGATCAATCAACCAGTCGTTAGTAGGCAGACACCGATGTGCAATCTGCCACTGAAGTGAAGCAAACTTGGCCGGTCTTTCCTTGAATCCTTGGCACCACTTGATTGGTCTAAGCAAATCCATAGAAACATTCAGATGTCTTGCCCACCGTTCCTGTAATACAGCAAGAACATCTACCCACGGACGTAACAATCGATATGAAGCTTTGACCGATAAAGATTGTAACTTCTGCGCTTTACACCTCCTCTTGGCCTTCCAAGTGCACTCCGCAAGATCAAAAGGGAGATCAGGTATTGGAGTATTAGGGTGAAATATCCTCCATGTGTTGGAAACTGGACAATACATAGACCTTGCCCTATATAATGAATCAAACTGAAAGAACAACACTTTGTCTTGACTATGTTGTGATAGGGTATAGTCTCTCCGAAGTGCAAAGACATTTATTAGGGCTCCATCTGCGTAAATATCTAGTATCTGTCCCGCCACCCTAGATCCCTCCGATAGATGTGCACATACCCAATCTCCTACGTAGAAAATAGGCCCTTTCTTTAAGGTGGCCAACCAGGCTAACGGAATGGATGAAGTAATAACCTCCAGATTTTCCTCTAGCTTATATGCATACTTAATTTCTTTCCTTAATTGTTCTACAGATTTCCAACTTTTATTCCCTGAATTCCACAAGTCTTTAATCCGAATTATACCATGTTTCACCCAGGTGGACCATGGGGATGTGGAGCTTATAAACACTCTTCCTTGTGCATCCGATATAGTTGTGTTGAAGTCATTTTGTCAATCTATCTTTGGATTATTGATACATACTTTCTCTAACAGAGTAACCAACGTAGAGGTAGTACTACGGTTTGGTGGCTTTGCGTTCATCATGGCAAACAACTACAACAGCAACAACGGTCCTTTCAGAGGGAACTGTTACAACTGCGGCCAGTCTGTCCACATATCGAGGTTCTGTCCCCTAGCTAATAGGAGGATCAATGACGCTCCTACGAGTTCTGCGATAGTGTCGTTCAATGCATCAGTTGCTGCGAACGCGTCGTATAGTGGTCAGTATGCAGGAACGAGGTATCTCAAACAGTGAGTCGCTACTCTAGAAGACACTGTCTTTAAAATCAAGACTACACACGAGGCAGATAAGGCTAAGGAGAAAGCAGCCAAGGAAGAAGCTGAGAAGAAGAAGCGCGAACAAGAAGATGAGGAACGACGAGAACGAGAACGACGGGATAGGGAGTCCTTTCATGGCACTATTACCAAGGAACTGTCCACTAAACTGAACGTCGTAGTCGGTGCAATTGAGAAGAAAGGTGATGAGAGCGAAGTGGCTCGCCTGAAAGCGGAGATCGAACGATTGAAGTGTGCGCAGTCAGTTGCCGGTCCTTCTTCCTATGTTACGAAGCCGCTTACCGAAGGTGAGCTATTCGAGAAGTTTCGTCGTGAACAGGCGGAATTGAAAATGGAGTCGGATCAGCGTTTTACGATCCTCGAAGAAGAGATTGCCAAGGTCAATCAGATGCGAGATGAAGTTGTGGCCGACGCCGAAGCCTGGAAGAACGAGGCCCTCCGGCCAGGGAACAAGCGTGGGAACCTGGTTATTGGAACCCCTGTCACAGCACAGACTCGGCCACGTATGGCATCCACACCGGCTACTGCTACCGCTAAGCGGGGGGTCGATGATAATCTGAAAGGTGTGGTAGAACGGCATATTCACGAGGTCGATTTACTCAAGGAAATGAGGGTACGTGAGGTCAATGAGCGAAGGGAGGTTCAACAAGAGTTGGAGAGAGTCAAAGACAAGTAGAGGAGAGATGAAGAGGAAGTGGTCAGGCTGCGTGAAGAAATGATAAAGCTGTCAGTAAACAAGGGACATTGGGTTGCGGGCACTAATCTCAAGAGTAGACTTGATGAAGCTGCGGGTGCATCCGCCAAGGTAACTGATAAAGGGGAAGGCGCAGCCACCCCTTGTGTTGTGGGAGACAATCGTGAGAATTTTTTGAAGGATGTCAGGCGGTTCTTAAAAAATCTTACCAAGAAGGATTTGTTGGTTATATGTGAAAAAGAAGGTGTTGAGTACGTCAGGCTGGATACTACGAAGGAGGTGATTCCCAACCTGAGGGCTGATCATGCTGTTCGTGCGGGGAAGGAAGATGACCCTGATGCTCCGATACAAGAAGTGTCTGACGACGGCGGAGGGGGAGTCCAGCGCGAGGATGACGGGAATTCCGAAAACTCCTAGTATTTTCCCGGACGCGGCTGACTTATAGGCGGTCCTTAAGCTAGGCTTCAAAATGAGACAACGACATCTTGATCTATTGAAGTGTAGGCTGCTTAATGGTTTCTTGGTTTGCTTGCTTATCGTTTTGGGACATATTTCGTGGGGCAGTAAGTTAATTAATTTGACTACCAGTGCGGTCGCAGGAGGTTTTCTTTTTGACAAAGGTCAGGGACCGGTGGTTTATGCTTTATTATCTCCCTTTTGTCGGCACTTGTATGTGGGAAGCACGAGTCGGGGTGTGTACACAAGATGGAATGAACACGTTTATAGGGCTTGTCTGCAGAATGGGGAGGGAAATGAGAAACGAAATGAAAACTTTATTGCTGGCTCAGGAAGTATGGGGTCCAGATGTCATTATCCCATTGGCTGTGTGTTCAGATGATGACTTGCGCGACGTTGAGAAGTATTACATTAGGACATTAGAACCTTTTCTTAATGTCAAGAGTACGGGTAGGCGCTCTAAGAGGAAACGGTTGGGGAAACGGGAAAGGAGAAGGCTGGCCAAGCGGAAGACACGTGGGAAGGACTTGGTTGGTGATGGTCAGATAGTCAGGGATCATCGTGGTTCTTACGGTAATCTTGTTAATTTTTCTTCTAGCACAGGTTTGGTTTCTGGTAGTCTCCTTCGGATCCTTGAGTCATGTAAAGAAAACGACACTCACCGACTGACCGTAAGTTGTAGAGGAGGTGACCGACTGGTTGACCGATGGAAGGTCCTGAAACGGACGTATGGTGGGAGTATTATCTCGAGTGAATATGGGAGAATTGAACTCCGTCATGGAAGATGTTGGTTCAAGGATGGAGTTTGTATCGTGTTTGAATCAATTGTTCCTTTTTTAATAAGTCGTTTGGTCTGAAGGGCCCGCTGTGCGAAATATTAGGCAACCCGTCGCTTAAAAAGGAGTTGTATGCTTGGGACTTGGAGAAGCTCGTTTACTCGTATACGGTGGTTCGCACGCTTGGGGAAAAATGTTCACGGTTTCGTCTTAGACGCATGTTGTCTAGAGTCATTATGCTCAGATTTGGGTTGAAAGTGAGAAGTAGGATTGTTGTGAAGTTGGTGTACGATGACACTTTGTGCAAAGCGACGATTCGTAAGTTGGTGGGCGGCTTGGTGGCTTCGTCGGACATTTGCAGTGCATGGAAGGAGATGCTTGTTAGACGAATGAGAATTGTTTGGCGGCGTAACAAGTCGATTGGTGATTTGGTTAATATTTTTCGTGATTTTTCCAGACGCAAGGTTGTTAGTTGTGTTTGCGACGATTGTGATGCCTCTTTGCCAAGGAATAATGAGCATATAAGTTTTAGGTTGAATGACTGCTCTGACATCCCGAATTGGTTAAAAAACTTGAAGAATGTTCTCAGGCCGTCGTGCGCCTATTCGGTGAGCAACCTACGAAAACAGATTTTGCAGGTTTTTTATGATCATCCGTCTTTCTCGAGTATCTGTGAAAACACTATCCCTACTGCTGCTCTACGGGAATGCTTTTGTCAGAGGGGGTGAACGGCGGCTGCTGTACTTTGTGAAGATGATCTGAAGGAACATCGTGATTTAACCAGTAAACTGGTCTGTAGCCCGTTGGACCACAACATGGGGGATATGTTTGTTTGCTGCCAAGTGGTTTATGAGGAAGGAATGAAAAAGCTGTTTTTTGGTAATCCTTCCTTCCAAGTCTGTGGGGAAACTAAACAGGAGTTGCTCTGTGAGGCTGCAAGGGACTACGATACTGCTGGTCTGGCTAAAGTTAGCAAATGGAAGAAGGACGGCGGTCTCGGCAAGGCTTATTGCCTGCCCAAACACAAGGACGTACTGAGACGGCGACCTATTTGTCCCTCCTATCCTGAATGCTCAGCAGGCGGTGGTAAGATCGTTGCTCGCGTCATTAACGGGATGTTGTGGAGGAAACTAATTTTAATTTTAAAATTGCTGACCGGATGTCTGACAAAATCAGGAGAATCAACAAATCACTGTGAAAGAAGGATCTGCTTGTGGGTGTTTCGTTTGATGTAAAGGAAATGTTTTCAAACCTCCCACACACATCTATCATGATCGCTTTGAACAGGGTGGTGGATTTTTGGATTGGTGAAGGGGTTAGAGATGTGGTTGTACGAAGGTAGGGCAAAGGAGTCAAGTTGAGGAGAGGCAATAAGGAGGAAGGGTGGCGGTATTTGCAGTTCTCCGCAATTTTGGATTTCATTAGATTCGAACGTAGTCACACCTTTGTCTCCGCTGCAGGGAGGCTGCTAAAACAGACGGTAGGAATTCGAATGGGAAAATTCTCGAGCCCAGCTATCGCTTGTCTATTGTGCGAGTATAACGAGTTTAACTTTCTCTCGAGTTTAGGTGCCGACCGGAAGATTGTACATGGTGTTCGAATGGTGGATGACGTTTCCGTTTTTGTAAAATGCAGGCGAGGTGATGAAGTGGGGAGAAGAAGAGTTGAAAAAATTATTGAGACTTTCGAAAAGTGTTATGATGATAACCTGGTTTTGGAGAAAACAGGGGATGAAGATGGGTGGGATTTTCTGGGCTGCGTTTTGCGTGTGTGTGATGGGCAGAAAGGAGTACATTGTGTGCCAATGATGAAGAACCAACGACAAGGTTTGAATGGCAAGCTGGTCTTTCAAAGTTTACAAGATTTTATATTTTTTTCCAGCAAACAGCAGAAGATGGCGGTAGTTGGCTCTTTCTTGCACCGAGCTAGAACTTACTCTACTCTGCAGTACGGGGAGATTCCCTTCCTCTTGGCGTTAAAGAGTGAGCTGTGGCGTAGGGGGTACCCAGATGAGGTTTTCGATACATCTTTGATCTCATTTTCGAGGAAACATGGGGGGGTCTGGAGTGAGTTTCTCCCTTTGCTGACTGCATGGAAGTAGGCTCCAGAGGCCGATCGGTATTAGCCTGGTTGTTGATTTTCGTATCAGGGTGTGACACCGTGGTAGGTGTTGTTGTCGGAGTTTCTTTTTCCTTTTTCTTTTTTCTCTTTTTTCTTTGTCTTTTTCTTTTTTTTTTCCTTTTTCTATGTGCAAAATCGTTTTAAGTTGTGTACGATACTACTTAGTTTTTGACGAGGGATGGTGTGTGACCTATGAGACGAATCAGTGGAGCGGCCGTTACTCATGTGAAGGATACTGCAGGTATTTGTTCTTTATTTTTCGTATCGGTTTTCTACCACTGCTACGACTGCTTTTTTCGGGCGCGTCTTTTCTAACCCGAAAATAACGTTACGATGCATAACTCTCGGATTGTGACGGAAATCAGATGTGACTGACGGACTGAGGAAGTGGAACGACGGTTACTCGTACGGAGGCTTCTAGTTCTTAGTACGACATGTGGATACTTGTAAGGCAGCCGCAGTTGGTACTAGCAGGAGGAATGGGTTGGAGTTACTTTGCGATGCTTTTTAACCAATTTGTGGGCTGGTTCATCGTTTTTTGTTTTCTCCTTTTTCGGTTTATAAGTCTCCTTCTTTTCGACGTAGGAAGGTAATCGTAGTATAAATAGGCTAAGTATCAATTGCTTCGTACTGACAAGGCCCCTGATGATCCTGTTTGGCGACCAGGTGAAACCGGTAGGGTCGATCGTCGGACGAACTCTGTTCGTCATTTGTGCTTATTTCCATATTTTTCGGAAAGTCGTGTTCGGGTTACTGATACTGGCTTCGTCGTCGTGAGTCTTCTCCTTCTCCTCCCTCCTCTTCTTCCTCCTTCCTCTTGTACCGTTCCGTTTGAGTTGACTTGTCGTTGTGTTGGAGTCATTTTGTCAATCTGTCTTTGGATGATTGATACATACGTGGCCCCGCCACACGACGGGGAGGGGGTGGGAATACAAAACACCAAAAAAAAAAACGGAAAAAAAACGGAAAAAAAACGGGAAAAAAAATGGACAAAAAAAAGAAAGATGAAGAAGAAAAAAAAAAGGGCCACGTGCCTGACTGAACGGCTAAAAAAGGTCAGCCCGAGTTTCAACTGCATTTTTGACACTCAGGCCCTGACTAAACTGCTAAAATGCAGTTTGAAATGCAATTACAAACTGTAACCCTGACCGCACCGTAGTTTTTTTTTTTTTTTTTTTTTTTTGAATGTGGGGGAACACGTTGAGTCGAAAGGTATGAATATTGGTCGGTCAGCAACCATCATCACATACGTCCAAGATGAAAGTCTGTCCACTTGTGTGAGTATGCTCGTCTCCCCCCCTATGGACACTGATGGGGACTCCCCCCCTATGGTGGACTCTGAGGGCGGTGAAGATGGAATGAATGACATTAGTCAAATTCATCTCCTAAGTTAAACGCTATTATAAAAAATAAAAATAAAAATAAAAATAAAAAAGTTAAACGCTGTTAACAAAAGTTTGGAAGCTACCGTCTTCACCCGAATAGGGGGGAGGGGAGCGGGGAATAATGGGGTAAAACTAGGGTGCAGTCAAGTTTTTAGTTTTTTAAATGCAGTTCAGGCATCCGTCGAATACAACACATCCCCAGCCAACCCTAAAGATGGGATGTATACATTCACTATTTTCCTAGCTTTGGAGCAACATTTGCAAAATAGTGACTGAAACACATTTTTATTTTTTTATTTTTTATC